CCCCACCTTCACATCTCCTACAAGTCCCTCCCTATTTGATAGCATGAGGTCCAGTAGCCCACCTCTCCTCGTCGGCTCCTCCACAACCTGCGTCAAAAAGTTATCGTCGACAAACATGAGGATGAGAAAAATGATATTCTTGTGCATGTGAATAATATTAAAATCTTTTAGAAGGGGTAATAAATTCCTGTTGCTTTAGAAAAAAATTAGAAAAAAAAAATTTGAAGTGACAAACAGGGTATTTTTTCATGTCATACGAGTTTTGGTCTTATACAGAATATAAGTATACAAGTTAAAGCATTGACGTTGATGACATTGCTTCCGTTGAAATGTATTACTGGCTCACTTTACAAAGACTTTTAAAACTCAAATGCTTAAATTCTAATAGAGGAGCTTGGACAGAAGGAACAGTGGGAGTGACTCTCCTTAGGAGAAGGGGCCAAGGATTTAGGGCTATCAGAGGGTTGCAAACCAGGATCTGCAGAGCTGAGATAGCTGCATATAAGCTCCTCCTCAAGTCCTCTATCTTTAAATGATGATCCGGTATTCCTGTCTCATGTGAATGATGTGTGTTGTTGTTATTTATATTAAAATATTTTTTTCTTTAGTATTCACCAGCTCTGTTTCAAAAGCATTAAGCTGACTCCTATGCTTTTTCTTTGAACTGGTAAAATTCTTATTCAGATAAGATGCACTCGTTCTGTTTTATAAATAAACAGTCACCCCAAATTTAGGAAGTCCTCTTAAGCTCATTGAGAGCTCCCTGGCTGCTGCCTGATGGCAGTTACAGTTGTGCAGGGTTATTTTAAGAGTAGATGTACTCAGTCAGTATGAAGTTTTATCTAGTGCAGTGTTTCTTAGCCACAGCTAACAGGGACTATGTGGTATGAGTACTAGCCTAGAGGGAGTGTATAGGGGTGCCTCAGGTAACTTCTCAGTAGGAGATTTTTTGACTTAGAGGTGGCATCTTTGAATTTGGGAGCCCTCTGATTTCCCCCCTACCAAACTGTATTTTTGGAATTCATGAACATTTCGGCCCCTCTGTTGGGAATGCTGCAGCCGAAGTAGCTCTTGGGAAGAAGCACCTCTTTTTGAGCATGCAAATGTCTTCCTTTTGTTTGACACCCTGTTTGTTCCTGCAACCAAAACCTGCAATTTTGGGTTTGTCAGGGAGGTTGGGGGATCCATATTTGAATAGTCGCTTTGAAACAGATATTACACCTTTGTCTGGACTGACTTAAATGTTGCTTATGGGTAGCATTTTCCATCCTTCAATACATCCATTTCTGTCCTTACATCTAATTTTTAACCTCTAATGCCAGTTCAACAGTAATTGGGTTTTACTATAATTGTGTGGTGTTTTTTTTTTTTTTTTTTTTTTTCCCCCCCTCTCATTAATCCATGTAGTTACTTGTTTCTTTTCAAAAGCTGGAAGTTTATTGAAGCTGATGTCCTGGAAAGATGTCACATGTTTAGTAGCATTTGTTTCATGGCACATAGTTACTGGCAGATTGTAAATGCTCATTTTTTTTTAGCCTTCCCCCATGTAGGTAACTGGAAGCAGCCATGTTATTTTACAAATATTTTTTTTGCTCGCTTGTTTGCTTATTTGACGCTAGCTGTGCAGTAGTGACAACAACCATGCTTAATGTGGGAGCAGATGGTACATGGCTTGACAGCACCAAGGGATTTATTTGCGTGACCCTTTCTTGTCAAAAGCCATTCTATGCCTCGGTACCCCTGCGTATTCATTTGGAAAATATGTTTTCGAATAGCATGTCAACTTAATATCCTTGTTTAAATTGTCAGTTCCTTGTGGCTTTCCCCACTGGTAATAGCCTCGATGTTGATATAACGGCAGCAGAGTGTTCTTCTTGAGTGAGGCTTATGCAGTCTGAAGTATAGCACAGAAACCCTTAACTTTCTTGGATTGTAGGGCAACTTTGTTGTCCTAAATTTGATGGCAGTCATTTCAATGCCTCCCTATATACTTTGATTTTCTACTTTTCAATAATTGTTCCAGATAGTAATCTAATTTAGGCGACTCTATATATTTCTTATTTTTATGAAGGACTTCAAATGTTTCTTTTTTTTCTTTTTTCCCTTTAAGAAATGAAAATTTAGAAGAGGAGTTGCCAAATAAAGAAGATGGGAGCAAATAGCAGCAGCATCAGTGAACTTCCAGAAAATGAATATTTAAAAAAACTATCAGGAGCAGAGCCGATCTCTGAAAATGACCCATTCTGGAATCAGCTGCTATCTTTTAGCTTTATTGCTCCAACAAACAGGTAAGATATTTGGTGAAGGTTGAGGGAGGGGATCCTGCCCCTCTGCTCGGTTCTGGTTAGGTCGCACCTGGAGTATTGGGTGCAGTTCTGGGCTCCCCAGGACAAGGGGGACATGGAACTTCTAGAGAGGGTCCGGCGTAGAGCCACAAAGATGATTAAGGGACTGGAGCATCTATCGTATGAGGAAAGACTAAGCGAGCTGGGCCTGTTTAGTCTAGAGAAGAGAAGGCTGAGAGGAGATTTGATCAACATGTTCAAGTACCTGAGGGGTGATTGTAGTGAGGATGGGGCCAAGCTCTTGTCCTGTCACCGGCTGCCATGTAGAAGGGGTAACGGGTGTAAGCTGAAACACCGGAAGTTCCACCTCCATGTGAGGAAGAACAACTTTTCTGTGAGGGTGACAGAGCCCTGGCACAGGCTGCCCAGAGAGGCTGTGGAATCTCCTTCTCTGGAGATCTTCCAAACCCGCCTGGATGCCACCCTGTGCCACATGCTCTAGGTGTCCCTGCTGGAGCAGGGGATTGGACTAGATGATCTCTAGAGGTCCCTTCCAACCCTAAGCATTCTGTGTGATTCTGAGTTTAACCTTGGTAAAGTATTTATAAAAATTACAAATCTGGAAAGGAAAAAAAGCTTTTGTTATTCTTGTTCTAGGTGGCAGGGGAGTAAATGCATATATAAAATGGACTACTTCTAATTTTGGAACCTCTTTCTGCCATATCTTTCTGTGGGTCCCTTTCCTCCACATATTAGCTGTAATTGCTACTTGTTCTTCTAGCAGCTAGAAATGATCAGAAATAGGTCTGTTATGTTCTCATGTGCATGTTTTTTTTTGTGTGTTTATTTTTGGATAAGCCTCCATTGTGTCTTTCCTCCAAGACATTTATTATTTCATGCACTAAGAAGTTCAAGTAGTGCTAGGTCACAGGACTAATCCTTCCAACTCTTATTGCATTGAGCTTCTTCCATAAGTTGGTTGTATGTTAGCTGTTGAGTTTCTTCATCTGTGTGGCCTTAATTATACTTTTTCCTGCTTTACCTTTTAAAGGGTAGTTTCGCATGTTGTCTCTGTAAAAATATTTTTTAAGTATTTAAATGCAGCACACTAATGTGCGAATGTTTCTCTTGTGATGATGTGGTCCACAGCCCTACTATACTTGCACCAAAATTATAGAACGTAGCAGATAGCTGAACTGAAATACCACCTTATCATGTTGGTTCTTTTTTGCATGTCTCTTCATGCTAGCAAGTAGCGTCGATAGAAACAGATTTAGTATTTCTGAAAGGCTCCACAGCATATCTCCAGAAATGCAAAATGTAACCTGTAGTAAGGGTAGCCTTGCAACTGTAAATGACTTCAAAATAGGTTTTTAATAAATAATTAATTTCTAATGAGGCATTGTTTACCTGTTATATGAATGCCTGCCGTGCCATGTCTCGCATACTATGCGCGGTAGCTCCTGAAAGGCCAAGAGCAGTGACACTTATTTTCACAACAGTTAGAAGCAGATCAGGTAGAGTCTGTCCTGCTTGTACCAATGTGCTTATGTGCAAGTGAAAAGTCAGGTAACCAGGAGAGAAGATGGTTAAGGTAAATGACTCGGATATTTTTTAAGGAGTGAAAAGGAGGAAAGATTTTTGGCTTGTGCGTGGGGATAATAGGAAGTAGCAAGAAGTTATAGTATTGTGAGGGAGGATTTCTTGGAGTATTTGGCATTGCATGAAACAGCAGTCTCTTATAAATTCTTGCTTACAGTGTACTCGTGACTAATAAGATAGAAACCATGTAATATTGCATTGGGGCTTTTTAGGGGGGAAATAGCTATATATCAAAAAGAAGCAACTTTCAGTTGTTCTCTTACACCTCTGTTCCCCGTGCCCACCAAATAAATGAGTTTTTCATAGCTTGCTTTCAGCTTTTTTGTGTACATATCTTGTGTGCATCTGGGTCAGTCAGACCCAGTTTGTTTAAAGGCAAAGTTTGTTTAAAAAAAAAAAAAATTAAAGGAAAAGTGATCCAAAAGTAGGATGAAAGTTTAATTAGCTGAACACCAGATGGTGCTCTTGCCTGGCAGCTAGAAGTATTTTTAGAAACACAGTCCTATTTTCTATGCAGCTTAATAATTGGAAGGAGGCAGAAATTTTCCATCAAGTCGCATCTACCAGGGAGAGAACCATTTGGCAGATGGGGTCAAACACTGTTGGCTGCATAACACTCTCATCAGCTATTGTGTAAATCGCATGACCTTGTCTGCAGGAACATAGCAGCAGAGGTCAATGTTCATTTTGGAGACTGAAAGATTACAAAATATCATGCCAGCTCTGTTTTGTTATTATGAGACTTGAGTGTAGGTCATGCTTCTGACAGGAGCAAGGTGGTAGTTTTTGATTATTGTGGGAAGGCACCAAGTTTTCACTTGTCAAACAAGATGAAATTAAAGCTTTTCCTCTTCTTTCAAATTATGCTTCTCCTTCCCTCCCCCCGCCCCCCCCAGCAGAGCTAATAGCAATTTTATTACAGGCTGCCCAGTACTTTTTTCACTGTGAAAGGGATGTTGTGACCTTGCTCTAACAACTGTGTGTGGCATGTCTCAGATTTTGGGTTCCTTGGCCTATAGGAGTGTTTTCTGAGGAATTCCGATCTTCAGCCTTCAGATACCTGGGCTCTGACTGCACTCTCCCACCATTTCATTTTTTTTCTTCATGGTTCCATATTTACTACAAAAATGGACTCATAAAGGGGCTGATTTAAGATCATATAAATCCCCTTAATTCTGCCACTTCCTAGATGTCAAGCAGTTTGAATAGTATTTGGTTATTAAAAAAAAAAAAAAAAAAAAAAAAAAAAAAGAAAAAAAAAAAAGCCCTGAAAACACTCCCAGTTGACTTTGTTTATTGTTCTAAACACGGGCTCTGAGGTTTACTTTGGAGTTTCTTGATCTCAGCAGCCCAGCATGTTTGGCTGCCATCTGAGTTGCTACACAGAACTGCAATCTCCCCCTTAGCAATGTTGTTAGTTACAATACTTTCATAATGGAAAACTTAAAAACAGAGTTAACTAACAGAACTTGCTGAAAATCATATGCTTAATATTTGCTGTTCCACTTTGTTCCTTCCCTGGAGTTTTTAATGAGTGACGGCTTGAAGAATAGTGTGCATGATCCTTTAATGGAAAGACATAAAAATGAACAACTTCTATGTTGCCTTAATATGGTACATTTTTAAATTGATACAATAAATTATGAGCAGCTTTTTAGTCTTTCCCTTGAATAGTCCATTAAAGTCAGCATTCCCACAGTATGAATTTACTGAATGGGCCAATTCTTCTGTTTTGTATTCAATGGCAAAGGGAAAACCTCTGCTTAGTCAAAGGAAAGTCAGGAAAACTACGCTTTGTATTCTCCTCTTTCAGGGAGGGTGGTTCTTCACTACAGTTTGGGCCTTATTCTTACCGTGTTAAGGGTATCTACTTTGTTACCTACTTTGTAGGTGTGCTTTTAATAACCATTTACATGCATAATATCCTTAGAACTCACCATGCTGGCATCTCTTAAATAAAACAGCAGTCACACTACTCTAAAATCTCTTATATTGCGATGCTTTAAAATAAAAGCAGATAAAACCATTTTCTTCATTGAAGATGCTGCTGTCAGAAAGCAACTTTCACTGTCTCTTATTAATTACAACTTTGCTGAAGTCTGTGGGATGGACTGTTGATTACTCTGATGTAAATCCAAAATAAGGCAACTGAAACAAATTCAACCACTCTAAATGAACTCCACTGTGTTTTTTTTTCCCATTTTCTTTTTGAAAGTAGTGTTTTTCTCAATATTTGCCAAAATAGCTAACCACAGAATCTGGCTTTATACTAGTTTGAAGCCTAAAATAAAAATCTGCAGTGAATAAATATTATTTTTTGAGCAATAGACTGCTTAATTCACAATTTTCCTCACCTTTCACCTTTACTGCAAAGATGATTTCTTATAGAAAACTGACTGATAAAGAACTTGTAATATGAGCAGTAACTGCTCATATTAGTACAAAGTGATTAAATGCCAAGAGAATTAAAACATTGATGTAAGATCAATTATTAAATGTTATGAAAATAATTTTGACAAGTCAAAATAAAATTTGTATTATTTGAACACTGTTTCAATAATATGTTTTCTTTGGCTAATATTCATTGCACATAAGAACTCCAATTTTTGTTTTGTCTTTGTAGTATTTTTACTTATGAAAAATAAACAGGGGCAACTTTGGCTTCTATTAGTACCATGTATATTGTGTACATCCAGATAGCATTTATGTGGTAATTTAGTCCTGAAGGTCTGAACCTTTGTATCAAGAAAAAAGAGGTATGATGGCTCTGGTACCAAAGGGGCAGTATTTGAGTTGGCAGGTTTAAACTTTAATTTTGATTTCTCCTCTCCTGTCTCTCATATGGGAATTAAAGCTGAGCAAGCCATTTTGTTTGAAGAAATCTGTGCTGTCGGGAAGCAAATTTCACTGTCCTTAACTGCACTTTTGCTGAAGTTTGTGGGACTTCCCTCCATATACAAGAGCAAATAAAATAAATTCTTGTTTTTATGAAGGATTTTGGAAATGCTAGCCACCAGATCACAGGATGAGGCAGGAATTCCTGTGAAATCTTGATTTATTTCGTTTACTTATCTTTCCTCTCCCCTGAAGTGTGTGAGGCTGGAGTCTCAATCTTTGCTATTGAGATTACGGGTGTAGCCTTTGCTGTCAGGTGGTTGTTCCATTAGTTAAAGGTCTGTGACCCCAGTAACAGGTAGCAATGCAGCGAGGCCACATTAGCAGTTAACTGATCTTGCTGAGGGTTATGTTGGATTTTTAAGCATTAAACTTCTTTTTCTTTTTGCTAGGAAAAAGACGACTCCAGTGTTAAAACTTTTGCTGAGCAACTGGAGGTGATTTTGATCTTGGCAAATGGGGCGGGGGGGGGGGGGGAATTGGGGAACTGTGAAATTTGGAGGTTT